TTTTTTTTTTACCTTTTGGTAATGGAAACAAATTTTATAACCAATTGTGGAAAAAAAATCACTTTCATGGACAATTTCCATGTAAAATAAAGTCAAACGAATAAAAAATTTAAAAATTTTCCGGATGGAAAATTATATAAATCAAACACACTTCTCTGCAAAACATTTTCTAGGCAAAACTTTTCCCTATAAAATATTTTCTTTCTACCCATTTTCCACCCTTGCAATCAAACGCACCCTTATATCAGTTTATTCTTCTATAGGAAACACTTAAGTGAGTTTCACTTAACTCATTTAGAGCAATTCAAGCTCTATGATGTTATCTAATACTAAATCACATAATCTACATGAGTAAGCTACTAGATGAAAATGAATTACTTTATGTTCTATACCTCATACAACACGTGCACATCAAATTCAATTTTTTTTAATCAAAAACAATACACATGGTTTTTTCATAAATTGATCATGGTGAAACTTAAACTCATCACACACCCGTAATAAAATATCTTTGTAAAACAACCACCGAGAAGAAATTGTTGAGTTCTATTTTTTCTTCTAACAATATAGATATAAATATACATATATATACTTTGTTTTGCTCATTGTTCAATATGAAACACTTGGGTATGCCATTATTATGTAGGCATCATTCATATCTTGAGTTTCGATCGACTCTTCTAGATCAATTCCACGTAACTCTATTATGTTATCCATACTAAACTACATTATGTACATGTGTACGCTATTACACAAAAAAGAATTATTTTACGTTCAAAACGCCATACACATGCAGATCATATTCATTTCTTTATAGACGATGTCAATTTTCCATAATGGATTGCAGTAAAACTTAAACTCATCATAAGGAAAATTATTAATTAGTTTCATTTTATGTTGCATCAACCAGTTTCCTTTCAAATGGAATAATGATAAAAATGGCTATAACACTTACTCAAAACTTCCCTCCATCCAGAAATAAACCAAAATAAGCTCAACAAAACACCCTATTCAATTCCAAAAGCAATAACACACACAAAAGTCCAATCCCTTCATTGTACTACAGAAGAAGCACACAAATTTAAAAACCATCCACAAATCCAGATAGAAAGTGCCCAGAAAGTACTACTTCAAGCACTTTCATCTGAATAAAAAGTATCATCTGAACATAAACAAGTAAAACGCTATTCACAGTCACATAGAACCAGCAAAATAGTTATGATAATATCATAAAGATAAATGCCCACAAAATATAAAACGAGAAGATGCCTTCTTTCTTTCCTGCGGTATTTCATTCATGGCTTTAAACGAACCCACTCGTACCTGCCTTCCAATGGAACATCATTTACTATATCATAGTTGTACCTAAAAATAATGCAAAACCAATCAATCAAATGAAAATTACTACTTTGTTTCCATTTTAAGTAATTTAACAAGTTGTTCATGAATGCTAAATTGAGCGTTTTGGCTGATGGTTTTTATCCTGCCCGGAGAAACATAAAAATTTGTATTTTGTACTCACTTTTTGGCGAAACGCTGTTGCTGGTACTTTTCTTCTGCTGCAAAGAACTCTTCCAGCTCCTTCGCCGATGGCATTTTACCATCCGCCGATGAAATTATCTGGCGAGAATTCGTTGGAGAGGATGGCTCCTTCTTCTTTGACTGAGGCAAAAACACCAATAATGATTTTTCCGAGTCTCCGTAGATCTCTCTTGTTGGCGACGTTTCTCCGCTGAAAAAAAAAGAAAAAAGAAAAAAAAATTCAAAGATACATGCTTATTTACACAAATGCATGTATATATCATGCATAAGTTCAGAAAATGAATCTCTTGTTGGCGACGTTTCTCTGCTAAAAAAAAAATCAAAGATACATGCTTATATACACAAATGCATGTATATATCATGCATAAGTTCAGAAAATGAAACCGTGAAAATTAAACTAAGTTAAAAAGAATGAATGAATCTATTTTAATTTCATTTTTTACCTGGAAACATTGTTGATGGGCACAGAAATTTCAGTTTCATATCCTTCAGTCTGAAATAAACATTAAATTTATAAAAATAAATAAAATCAATTTATAACCAGCACATAAAGCTTGACAAAAGAGACAAGTTAAAACTATTTCGTAAACATAACGAATCTGAAAATGAGTTTGAAATGAACTTTGAATTCTCACCTTCAGATCTGAAGAACTCAGATTCTCTTTCACGAAGCCGCTTGACTTCTGATCCTTGGAGCAGTAGGAGGTCTCAAAAATCGCCGGTGACACCAAATTCACTTCATGGTTTTCAAACTGACTGGAATCAGATTGAAGCTTTCTTTTCTTGCCGGAGCTTTCCTTGGTGACCTCCGCCATGGCTTTTTTCTCCGCTCCTCCTTCCATCACTTTCTCACTCTTGCATTTCCTCAGTTCATCCCCCATCTCTCTCGAGGCACACTATATATATACATGCATGTATGTGTATAGCTGGCCATGTGCTTTATTTACAAGTATTGGTGATTATATATCGTCAGATATTTTTTTATTTTTCTTTCTTTCTATGTGACACAAGAAAAAACAAAGAAATGGAAGAATGTACTAACGAAGTCATCATAATCCAACAATTCCATTTAATACTATGTACTAAATGTACATGTCGAGTAAATTTTAAAATAGTGAAAACCCATTAACATATAGAGTTTGGATTTCATACATGTCGAAGTGAGCTTGAAGGCAACGATATTTAGTCATCAATTAAGGCTTATTATAGAAAGTGTCCGACATCAAAGTTTCAATGATTTTCGAACAATTTTTGAGCGTGTAATATTACAGCGCTAATATCTTGTCTTCAGTGAGCAAGGTAAAATCTTCACATTAGTGATAAAGCAAGAGAACTTTATTTATAAATTAGAAGTAGAAAGTTTTTATCCTATCTACTGAGAATATGAAATCAGTTTCATGTAATGTTAACCGTCAAATAGCAAAAATATATAATTCTTGTATTGTACCTTCTTTTCTCTCCAAATTGGAGACAAGTGTTTATTGATTGTTCTCTCTGCGTTCAATTTTGTGTTTTGAGTATTTATTTCGAGATTGTTGAAAATGTGTTTTTTTTTTTGGCATTTTGAAAACACTCAAAACGCGTTTTGAAAATTTTGGCTTGATTATAACTGAAAACACACAAAACGACAAATTTATTGTTTTGTGTTTTCTTTGTAAATTTTTAACTTATTTTTAAAAACGCGTTTTCGAAAATAGGAAAGAGAATACGTTTTCACTGTTTTGGAAAATCGAAAACAGAAAACGATTTGAAAATGGTAAAGAGAACAAACCCTTAATGTTCTTACAAGACTGAATCATAAGTAGTCATCGAGTCAACCTTCTATCTGTTAGGAATATTGAGCCTAACTCCACCTAATAAAACCGACTTATTAGGGGAGGATTGCCCTCACCTTATTATGGATCATTTATATTTTCCCAAACAATGTGGGATTCTAATACGCCCCCTCACACACAGCGTGGACCATGCCAAACAATTGTGAACAAATCGATATTGGGTGGCACCCAACATTGCATAATTGGGTCTAGCTCTCTCTTGTTGGCGACGTTTCTCTGCTGAAAAAAAAAGAAAAAAGAAAAAAAAATTCAAAGATACATGCTTATTTACACAAATGCATGTATATATCATGCATAAGTTCAGAAAATGAAACCGTGAAAACTAAACTAAGTTAAAAAGAATTGAATGAGTATATTTTAATTTCATTTTTTTACCTGGAAACATTGTTGATGGGCACAGAAATTTCAGTTTCAAATCCTTCAGTCTGAAATAAACATTAAATTTATAAAAATAAATAAAATCAATTTATAACCAGCACATAAAGCTTGACAAAAGAAAAATGTTAAAACTATTTCTTAAACATAACGAATCTGAAAATGAGTTTGAAATGAACTTTGAATTTTCACCTTCAGATCTGAAGAACTCAGATTCTCTTTGACGAAGCCGCTTGACTCGTGATCCTTGGAGCAGTAGGAGGTCTCAAAAATCGCCGGTGACACCAAATTCACTTCATGGTTTTCAAACTGACTGGAATCAGATTGAAGCTTTCTTTTCTTGCAGGAGCTTTCCTTGGTGACCTCCGCCATAGCTTTATTCTCCGCTCCTCCTTCCATCACTTTCTCACTCTTCCATTTCCTCAGTTCCTCCCCCATCTCTTTCTAGGCATACTATATCTCTCTCTCTCTCTCTAATATACATTTATGTATGTGTATAGCTGGCCAGGTGCTTTATATACAAGTATTGGTGTGTATAATGTGAGTTCGGTAGGGTTTGATTCAAAAGTGACTGGAAAAGTTGAGTCCTTACTCTTTTATAGTTTTACTCTGTTTAAATCTAAATGGTTTAAAATATAGCATAGGTATATAAAATATTTGCTTAAAATTAATTATTAATTTTTATTTAAATTTTAATAAATAATTTCAAGTTGAACTAAAAATGGGCATAATATCTTCAGATATTTTGTCATTTTTCTTTCTTTCTATGTGACACAAGAAAAAAAAAAAAAAGAAATGGAAGAATGCACTAACGAAGTCATCATAATCCAACAACTCCATTTAATACTATATACTAAAGGTACATGTCGAGTAAATTTTAAAATAGTGAAAACCCATTAATATATAGAGTTTGGATTTCATGCATGTCGAAGTTAGCTTGAAGGCAACGATATTTAGTCATCAATTAAGGCCTATTATAGAAAGTGTCCAACATCAAAGTTTCAATGATCTTCGAACAATTTTTGAGCCTGTAATATTAAAGCGCTAATCTCCTGTCCTCAGTGAGCAGGATAAAATCTTCACATTAGTGATATAGCAAGAGAATTTTATTTATGAATTAGAAGTAGAAAGTTCTTATCCTACCCACTGAGAATATGAGATCAGCTTCATGTAATGTTAACCGTCAAATAGCAAAAATATATAATTCAGGTATTGTACCTTCTTTTCTCTCCAAACTGGAGACAAGTGTTTATGGACTGTTCTCTCTGTGTTTCAGTTTTGTATTTTGAGTATTTATTTTGAGATTATTGAAAATATGTTCTTTTTGACATTTTGAAAAATTGTTTTCAAAACACCCAAGACGCGTTTTGAAAATTTTGGCTTGATTATAACTGAAAACATACAAAACGACAAATTTGTTGTTTTGCGTTTTCTTTGTAAATTTTTAACTTATTTTCAAGAACGCGTTTTCGAAAATAGGTTCGCTGTTTTGGAAAATCAAAAACAGAAAACGATTTGAAAATTGTAAAGAGAACAAACCGTTAATGTTCTTACAAGACAGAATCATAAGTAGTCATCGAGTCAACCTTCTATCAAATCAAGATGTTAAAGAGAAACTTTTCGATTTGAGATTATGATAACACTAAAGTAAAGAGCAGTTTAGCAAATTTGGAAAGTTTAGTAACTAAAACACAAACTGAATAGCCGAATAAAGTCATTTTTTCTTTCCAATTTGTGCTTGACACGTCAATATATCTTTAGTCAACTAATGGAATACGTCACATCAACCTGGAAGAGTTCTCTAGTTGTAAATGTTAACTATCAAATGGTGTTAACATGCAACTTTTGTACTAATTGTCAAATTACATTAAAATAAGGATCGATTCGACGTAGCACCGTTGAATCTAACTTGAATTGGTC